TGTAGGCCAGTATATATTATACTAAAATTTCATAAAATTATACGTTATAAAACTTAATATTTTATGAAATTTTTATATTAAATTTTTTATTAAATCAGACAATTAGAATATTTTTAAATTTTTTACGTAATATTATAAAATGATATTAGAGTATTATTCTTCATCTTATATTAAAACTAGAAAATGAATTAATAGTTAAAGATATATAAGTTACTTTTACACTAAGAATTTCTATATTTATTACAGATATATTAAAATTTCACATGATTATAAGTTAGCCAAATATAATATAACATACTTAAACTGTATAATACTTATTAAAAACTTAAATAATATAAGCTTTTTAGAGAAAGATATAATTATATGAATTAATGATTTTTGTTTTTCAAAAGAGAAGAACTTAGGAATATTCAATTCATCATCAAAAAACATTTTTCAAGATTTTCTGTAAGTGATATAAAATTTGATGATTTAGCTTAATTGTAGTTTTTTTATTATATTACCCATTATTAATTATAAATTTAATAATTCTATTTAATATATTAAAAGAAACTTAAATATATATAAATAACTTTACTTGATCGAATATATCACTTAAATTTAAGATTTTATAATATATAGGAGATGGTCAGTAAAAAAGGAAAAATCCACTTTTTAGTCAAAAATTTTTTTATTAGTTTATTCTGCTTATTACTGTATAATTATATAAATAAAACTATCTTAATAACTAAAATTACTCAAAATTTGTAGATTTTCTCTTTTTCTATTAATTGCCTCTCATATATTAGATTATATTAGAACTTCTAAATGAATAATGCAAAAACTATATGATCGAAATGTTTAATAATAAATTAATAGCAATTTCAAAATTTCTGAATTAAAGATATTTAATAAAAGTATTACTGATATTATAGATGCCTGCTGAAACCTCCTCAAATAATTTCATCATACCCTTTTCTATGTTTTTAATATAGTTTTGACAGTTTCAGCTTTTGTTATATCAAAAAGGTTTCGTCATATCTCTTATTATGATTTTAATATAATTTTATCTAAGTTTTGACTGTTATTAAGGAGTTTTGTCCCTCATCTATAATTGATATATAAATAGCTGATAAACGTCAAATATTAATAAAAGTGATAATTTTAATATTTAATGTTTATTTGATAATTAAGATAATTTTTGATTATAGCATTCTTCTATTATAAAAGCATTTATATCACTAAATTCTATCAGAAACTCTTCTCTTTAGTACTCATAAACTTTATGGTAATATATTTATCAATTCAGATTATAGTCATCAATAGTTATTGTATAGAGCTCAAATCATAAAGTTGTAAGAACTAAAAAATTCTGCTAAAATCAGCAGACTCTATAATATCAGAGATCTAAAAAGAGTGTGCTTGTTTAGAAAGGTAATGAGAATTATTATGTATAATTAGTTAATTTAAAGTTATTATCAATTTTGATCATCATTTGGGATACACCTTGATACTTACTTTTGTAAGCAAAAAAAAAGCAGAAAAAGCAGAAAAAACAGCTATAAGAAGTGACTAAAAAAATATTTTAACAAAAAAATACCACCGTTTAAACTAATAAAAACTGTTTTTTGAAATAAAAGAGTTTGAAAAAAATAAAGAGAGAAAGAAATTTGAAAGAGAAATTTTATTTTTTATTAATAGACTAAGTCGTGATTATCCTTAAATATATACATTTTTTATGTAAAAATTTTGATTGAGTGATCACTGGAAAGAATTTATAATTTTATTATAATTATTAGATAATAAGTTATTTTAAAAAATTAATATATATTAATAATTAATAATTTTAAAATTTTAAAAAATACTATCATTAGATATATCTTAATATTATAAATTTAATAAATTTATTTTATCTTTTTATAATTACAAGATATTAAAATATTTTAATATTTTAAATCAATTTTATATCAATACTTTAAAAAATAATATAATTTATAAATAAGCTAAAATTACTTTTCTTAATTAATTTTATTTAATAAAATATTTTTATATAAATATTAATTTAAGATTTAAATAAAATTTATAAAATATTTAAAATATATCTATATAATTAAAAAAATTTGTGTTTTTCTATCATATTTAATTTATCCTATATAAATAATAATAATTAAATTGTGTAATATTCTGCAAATTTTCAAAAGAAAAAAATTTGTCTTCTTACAAAATTAGAAATTAAGTCTCCAAATAAATTATACAAATTTCTTCTATATATTTATATAATATTACACAATTATTCTTGTTATAAGAAATAGGCTAACAATTAGTATATTATTAAAATTTAAAATTTAAAAATTAAATTACTTTTTTTATAAAATTTTTCTATTAGTAAAAATTTAATAATTATTAAAAATTAATAATAAAAATCATTATAAATTTAAAATAAATAATTTTTTTTTTTATAATATATAAGCTCTTTATAATAAAAAGAGAGAAAACTACTAAAAAAAATTTTTTTTTGCTTTATAAGCTAAATATTATTGTTTTAACAAAATAAGTTCAGATTTAACATTAACTTAAAAAAAATTTTTTTGATAGTTTCCTCCCTTTCTATTAAAAAAACCTATATAATTAGAAAAAATATATATAAATATAAGAACATTTTTATCTATAAATAATATATATTAATTCTATTTATATATTCAATTAATATAAAATAAAATCAATGATCATTTTTTTTACTATAATAATTTTTATATTTATAATATTTGTTTGAATTTGCATTTTAAAAAATTTTCTTTTTAAACTGTTCAACTTCAAAAGATTTTTATAGATCAAAGATTATAAAAGATTGCAATAAAGAAAATATAAAAAAGAATAACTATTTTTATAATAAGAAATTAAGGATTTATAATATGCATAATTTAGAATAATATATAAATTTATAATTATAATAAAGTTTAATTATATTTTAAATAAAAAGAAAATGAAAAATTTAGTTTAATACAAATAAATTTTTTTATTTAATTTGAAGTATATAATTATAATAAGCATATATAATTTTAAGTTTTTGAAAAGATTATAAAGTCAAAAATTGAGTTTTAAATAAAATATATAAGTTTTTACAATATCAAATAATTAACTAATTACTAAAACTTATACAAGTGTAAAAAAATTAATTTTATTTTTTTTTGAGTAATAATTTAAATTTTATTTTTATTATTATGTAAAATTATTTATTGATTAATATTATATAATATAATAAATAGAAATATTCACGTAATCTAATTAAAAAATCACTTATTTTATAGTCCTATATTCATTTTAAACAATATTATTTTAATCATTTTATTATATATTTTAAATTATCATTAAAATAAAAAATAATAATAAACTTTATTATTAAAAATTTTAAAAAGTTATATAAAATTTTTAATAAATAAAGTTTGTTATTAAATATGATTAGTTTATAATGATTATAAATTTTAAATCTAAAGCAATTAAAATAGTAATATTTATTATATAATATTTATTTATTATAAGCTTATATCTCACATCTTTTATCTTATAATAATTTATATTATATTATATATATTAATCTTATGTTATACTATATATACTAAGATCTTTCAATTATTTATTCATTCTCTAAAATATTACATAATAAATATTACTATCCTTATAAATATTTATTATATTTTATTATTATTAGTTGATATGTAAATTTCTTAATTTTAACTATATTATAATGTAAAATTTATTTTTAAAATTATAATATAATATCATAATACCATTTAATAAAATTATATATTTTATTAATATTTATAAATAATGTTATTGATTTTTTATTTTATGAAGAAGTCAATTTTTTTAATACTTTTTAATTTATTTTAAATGTATTAATTGAATAAAACATTTATTAAAAATAATAATTTTAGTTTTTTTATTTATTATAAATAATTAATAAATTTATAAATATTTATCTAATATTTTTAATAATTTAAATTTCAATATATTTAAAATTAAACTATTTGTTTTATAATAAATACTTTGATTAAATTTATAATAGATTATTTTAATTTAATAAAATAAAATCAAGTTGATAAAAAAAAAAAAAAAAAATATTAGTAAATTTTTATATTTTTAAATTATTGTAAATAAGTATTATTATATAAACTAATTTTAATTTATTTTTAATATATTATTTTCTTTATTTTAAAATTTGATAAATGTAAAACTGAACAATATTTTTAAAATCATTAAATCTAGCTGGATAATGTTTTTAAAAAAAACAATAGTATTTTATTATAACAACATGGAATGGAGATGCAATCATATGATTTATTTTCCAAATCATGATTTCACGTGACATATAATTATTAAATTATTATTTTCTGTAACTACTGTATTTTATTCCTTTAAAATTTCTAATTGGTCATTCGAGCGAAAAAAATAATTCATATATTATAAATATATTACAATGAAAGTGGTACATGTACATGAATTAAATTGAACCTAGAAAACTAAGACGCGAAAACTCTACTAATGATGCCCAATTGGATTCGCGTTTGCAAGATAACAAAATATATTCTTGTTATAATTTCACACAATCATCATAAATTATGTTATCTTCATTCCTAATTACACTAGCAATTGGAAGCTCGTCTCCCATATATTATTGCACAAGCAATATTCATTATAATTCCATCAGCCAATGTTTTGAAGCAGCTAAACATTAAATTCAACTTTTAATTTATTTTCTTTTATTCTGCTAGCGATCCTTCAATCAATTCAACGATTCGATAAGTTTCCACAACTCTTTCAATATCCACAGCATTTCCTTCCGCAGTTTCAACGTTCTTATATTTACGATTTCCAGTAACCCTTCCTACTTAAAAGTGCTACACAAGGATCTCATAATTAAATTATATTGATATAAAACATTATTATGTTATACAAGATAATTAATATAACGTCAATAAAATGTTAATCCTCAGAGTGAAAATCCCAATCCAATATATAATCTATATATATCCTACAGGTACAGAACCATTAATAAAGTCTTCAATCACACCTTCATTCGTGTATTTTTCAATTAATTTTACATAATTTCCTGTTTCATAAACACGATCTAAAGTATAAATGGTAAGCGCAGGTCGACCCCTCCAATTTTCTAAAAATTCTTCCAGGGTTATCAACGAAAATTTAAAACTAGAATAAAATCTTAACTCCCTTAGAGTAATTGGCGCGGACCTAATTAATGCATTTGATAGTTTTTCTCCCGACGTCAACCTCCCTTTTTCATGTGACTTTTCATCTATAAATTCCCTTTCTCCTGGCAACATCCAGTATTTTGTACTTAAACCTTCAAGCAAATAAATTGTACTTTCAATTTCTAATATTAACACTTTCAATTTTGGACAAGCCTTTAGTAATTTTTCGAATTCCAAGAAATGTTCTACTGATGAAGGGAATCCGAGTGATAAACATTCAACTAAGGGACAGTGTTTGTAGACTGCACTAATGAAATTAAGGGAATCATCATAAAAATTCTCGTCATAGAGTGCTTGCTTACTGGTTAGAATTTTCCTGAGTTTCCCACCGCTATTTTTAATGATACTAGTGATTGTACCGAAAGAATAATCTAATTGAAGAATTTCAAGGTTACTATAGAATGCCATTTTCAATTGAACTTCGTATACGAATTTTCTAAAAAAGGGGGTATTGAATTTTAATGTCTTTAAGTTATAAAGTTCTGGAAGTAACTCTGGAGGAAACGTTGTGTTGTCATCATAATAATTATTATTAGGAAAATCATAAAAGCTTGCCGAAAAATAAATGAGAGTATCAGCCTTCTTCTTTAATGCCATAAAATTGTCTTTGTAACTAAATTGTTGGATGTAGTAATCAAAACTTAAATTGTCCTTCCACTCAAAATATTTTAAATTCTTTTGAACTTCTATTAGGACAAGAATTCCATGATTACCTTCTAAGCTCGTGTTGAGAATAACAAGTCTTTGTATATTTTGACAGATGCGCGCCAATCCATAAAAGTATGAATCATCGGTAGCTGTTTCACAAGTTAGTTCGCATAGTGCTTCTAAGCGTATCTTTGCTTCTGGAAAGTAAAACAATTGATGTTTAAGAGATATAATGTCTAAATGTTTTAACTGTGGACATTTCTTAATGAAGAGACTGTAAATTTCTTGTTGCAAAAGGAATTGTTTATAAGCCGATGAAGAACCAATTGAGAGTATATTGTTTACAACTTCAACATTAAAACTCCTGCAGAAGGAAAGATAATCAAATAAAAATGCTTGATTTGACATTGATGGTAATTTTATGCCTTGACTTGTTAGAAATCCCTTAGTATCTTTGGATAAAAAAGAGGTAAGTATGTTGTATAAAGAAATTTTGCTTTGAGATTTAAAATCTACATAACGCCAAGGATTCTTCCATAAAACTGGAATGACCGTTTCAAGCCAAAATTTGTTAACAAATAGGGACGAGTAGAGCGGCCTTGATTCATCTTGTAATTCCTCAAAAATTAAGAAAAGAACATCTTTATTAAGTTTGAACATTTTTTTTTTTTTTTTTTTTTTTTTGTAATTTCAAGATAAGAAAAATAAGGAAGTATTTATTAATTTTTTTTTTATTTTTTGTTTTAAGTGACCTAAATTACCTAAATTGGAAAAAAATAATTTGTGTATTACTTATTTAACAAGGGGCTAGTTAACCACGTGAACGTTTTATAACGAAACAAATTATTCGGCAAGTTAAATCGAAAATTAGACTCCCATATGATACCAACTTCCCTAAATTTAGCAACGACTTCTCTACCCTTTCCACGGCAGATGAAATTTTCAGAGAAAATTGAGATAAAAATCACATAAAAATCTTTTATCTAGTAATTGAATAAATTTTTCATAATCCTGAAAGTTTACCCTCTCAAATTTTTTACGAAATTATTTTTTGACTTTTTTAATTAAAAAATTTTTTCATCTTTCTCAAAATACCGATCATTATTTTATCTGCCGAAACTAAATTCCATATTTAGTCTATAACCGAAATATCATACTGTTCAGCAACTTAAAGGACGATAACATTACTTAATAGCTGTTTAAAATTTCATCAAGATTGGTTTACAGCAACAATTGGCAGAGTCTGTGACGACGGTTCATTTTTTTTTTTTTTTAAAAGAAAAATCATTTTATTTGTTTTCCATGACATGAGAATCTAAAATACTTTCCTTCCTATTGCATTAAAATACAGCCTAAATTTCACCTTTTCTGCTTTTTTACTTTACATTTAAATCTTTTTTTGATTAAATTTGTTTCTTTTTTTTTTTAAAAAAAAAAAATTAATTAATTATTTCAATAATGTAACGCGCGATATTAGAAATGGTCGGTCGGAAACAACATTATAATATGCGGCTCAATTTTAATTGTAATTTTTGCCAGAATTATAAAAATCCGGGCTGGTACTTTGAACCCGGACCCAGCCCGGAAAATTTCTAAACTTATAATTTCTGGGTCGGGTTTGCACTAGATCCGGATACGTAAGAAGAAATTGTAGTTTATTGGTTACTTTTTTTTCTCTCCACACTAGATAATTCTATCTTAACTTACGTCTTTACTTTTTTTTTTTTAAAAAAAAAAATTTAAAATGTAACTTCCCTTCTAGAAATATGCTTAAAGACTTCGATCACACCATCTTCTTTGTATTTATTAAATATATTCATATATTCTTCTTTTTCATAATCATATTCATAGTCATATGTAAGAATGGAAATTGCAGGTCGACCTCTCCACTTCTCTAGAAACTCCCCTAGAATTTTGGGTGAAAATTTAGGATAATGAAAGAATCCAATTTCTCTCAGATTGATTGATGCAGCCCGAAGTAACACATTTGATAATTTCTCGCTGCTCGCGTACCTCTCTTCTTCATATGGCTTGTCTTCATCTTTATTTATGTCATTTACATATTCATGAACCTCTAATAATAAAACTTTCAATTTTGGACAAGCTTTTAGTAAATTTTCAAATTCAACCAAATGATCTCCTGATGATGTAAAATAAATTGATAAACATTCAACCAAAGGACAATTTTCATAAATGGTACGAATAAGTACGAGAGTTTCTTCATAATAATTATTAGAGTTGAAATCATTCATTAAAATCTTCCTGAGATTCCCACCGCTGTTTTTAATCATACGAGTGATTATGTTGATGTCAATATAGTTCATTTGCAAGTTTTCAAGTTTTTGAAAACCATTCTTTTCAAATTTAGGTTCAAATATGAAAGCTTCATCAATCTTTAATGTCCTTAAATTATGAAATTTTGATAGATTTATTGGTAGAGGCAAAAAATACTCTACGGTATCATGAAATCTTGTTATGAAATGACAAAGAGTATCGGATTTTTTGTCCAATTCTTGAAAGATCTCCATATAGCTATTTTCTTTAAAGTTAGGGTTAACATTAAAATCATCATTCCATTCAAAATATTTTAAATTCTTCTGAACCTCAATCAATTTAACAATTCCATGATTAGCTTTTACATCATTATTGATAATGGTGAGCCTTTGTATGGATTGACAGATACGTGCTAACCCATAAAAGCACGTGGGATCAATGGATGTATTACATTTTAATTCACAAAGAGTAACGAGACGAGCTTTTGCTTCTGGAAAATAAAAAATTTGACATTCAATCGAACTCATATCAAAGTACTTTAGCTCTGGACACTTTCTTAAGATGTGACAGTAAATTTCTTGTTGCAAAAGATATTGTTTAAAAGCAGATGAACTACCGATAGAAATTATACCGTTTAAAATTTTTGTATTGATGCTAGTGCAGAAGGATAGATAATCGAATAAAAGTGATCGATGAGTAGTTGAAGGCAATCGCACTCCTTGGCTCTTTAGAAATTCCTTAATATCATTGGGCAAAGAGGACGTGATTATGTAGTATAGAAAGTTTTTGTTTTGATAATTTATATCATCTTTATAGCACCAAGGATCCCTCCATAAGACCGGAACCACAGTCTCACACCAAAGTCTATTAACTAACATGCATGAAAAAAGAGACCTTGAATTATCCTGTAATTCTTCAAAAATCGAGGAAATTATATCTTTATAGAGGTTGGACATTTTAAAGAGATAATTATAAACGAAAAAAAAATTACGAAACGGAAGATCTTTATAAGAAATATTGAATTAAGATTAATCACGTGAAATGTGACATTTTATCGAAAAAAGATGAGCCGCTTTGTGATCATGTATGACAAAAAGTACTTTTTGTGCCAGATTATGACGGCCATTTTCTAAAATGTACAAACAATTTATCTAATTAAATTATCTCATTTAATCAGTTTCCGTAGGCATATGACCGGTCACTATTTTAAATTCCCAATCGAGAAAAAAAAATAAAGCTTGGGACTATGATTTCAGATGTGGCTGCATATAACGTCAATTGCGTCACATTACAAAACACTTTCGAGTTTAAAATCTTTAAAAAATTCATAATAAGCAGGATATTCATTATACTAATCAAGTATAAATATTTAATGATCCAATAAATTCAATGCGTCGTCAAGAAGTCATAAATACATTGATTGCATTGATATTGTCGCGTCGCGAGACCAAGTATGATTTTGTCGTTAACAATTTAGTTGCGGCTCACGAATGAGCCGACTAATTAAAGATTTCAGAAAATCAGACATTTCAATTCTTTCTGGCATAAATGTCAATATTATCATTTCCTGCATAAATTCAGTATAGTTTTGTTATTTGATTAGTTGCATTTCATCAATTTGTTGCCCTTTTAAAAATTTGAAACATCTCATGCTCTTCTATATTGAATTCTCCTTCTATGGATCTTATATATTTTGTCATAATCTTTATTATGCCAACATCCGACGACCGTATTCATTGAAAATGATTACAAAATCAAAACATGGACCATATTCGCCAAGAGATGCAGTTGCATGATCGTAAACTTTTTACTCCACTTATAACAACACCTTTAAGTTAGTAGATGTAAATGAAAATATAAAGCTTTCATCAGTTGATGACCATTTGTCATCGCTTGTTCCTATATCTTAGGATTATATCCTCCAATAATTTCATTAGTTCCCTTCACTTTAACAATCGTTACATTTTTTAGTTTATTGTCGCATAGTTTATAAAAAAACCAATACAGTCAATTCTCTATAAATGCATCCCCCCTTAGGACTGAATATAAGGGTGCATTTAGAGAGGGAGTGCATTTATAGAATAATGAAAATCACGTGATTTATAGTTATATTTATAATTTTATATTTATTATTAAGAATTAAAAAAAAAATTATAAAACTAAAATTATGATTACAAAAATTAGCTAAAATATTGATTTATAGTAGTTTGTTGCATTGAATTAATTTTTCTTTTTTCATAAATTTTTCAATTTTACTCACCAATCTTATTTGTTTACTTGCATTTTCATGTTGAAGTAAAAACATATGCACATTTTTTAAACTTTGCAATGCTTTATTAATGCAAATGGATTCTGTTTTAACACTATTATCCATTTCATCCAGATCATTTTGTTTGGTTTTTTTAAATAAATCTGCAATTTCTGAGAGATTAGGAATTCCATAAATCATATCTTCTTCAAGAATGGTTAAAAATTCTTTTAATTGCATCCTATTAGGAAGATTAAGAGTTTTAATTACATTAGTTAGTTCATTATCTAGCATTAAATCATCTTCATAATTTTCATCTAAAAAATATTATTAGAAAGAATTTTTGTATGATTTCAACAATGTTAAATAGTTTTAGCTGTAATTTCATTCCAACTTTAAATAATAAATTGAATAGCTTGTAAGACATTCATTTTCAAATCTTATACAAACTTACCAGCTTCAACTAGTTCTAACATCCACCTAAATTAAAAAGTTTGTATTATATATATAGAAAAAAAATAATAAAATTAAGAATAGAATTATTTAATATAATAACGCCTATAATGTTTTTTAAAAGTTATAATTATCCCAGCATCTATTGGTTAAAGTTTTGAAGTTGTATTAGGAGGTAAAAATAAACATCAATATAAGAAAGAGTTAAATTTTCTAACTTATGATTTGAACAGTTATCAATTAATAATAGAACACGTTATTCTTCATATTTTTGACCAACTATATTATTAAATTCCTAAAGCTATTCTTGAAAAAGTGTTGACAATATCTAAGCTTTAAAATTATTCTTATAGATTATTGATAAATTATTAAGATAAATATTTTTAAAGTATCTTGGTTTTGAAAATTTACTAATTACTAAAGACATTAGCTTATTTGATCTATTAGAATTTGCATATAAAGTAATTGTAAATCGTACTTTATTTTTTTTGTATCCAAAAAGTCATCATATTGCTAATATTTTATCTAATTCTAAACTAAAAAATAAATACTATAAATATATTATTAGCATTCATATAAAAATATACAAAAATTTTTAAAAAATACTAATAAAAAAGTTCAGTTTTATCCATATTATAAATTCGTTTAGGAGAAAATTTAGCATATTTACTCTTTAATAATAATAAGAATTCAGTAATAGCATTTTTATTAGTAGAATCTGCATCTCCTTAAAGTTTTATCTAATGAATACCATTACGATCCTTAAATTTTTAAAGCTAACTGGAAGAAAACTAAAATATTAAAAAATTAATTAAATTAATTAATTAAATTAAATAAATATTAAATATTTTTAAACTAACCTGTAATATTCCTTGAGGTATTTCCAGTCCATTAGCTAATAATTTAACCTTTTTAATTAATAAAGCATCAATTAAGATAGTTTTGTTTTGATAAAGTTATACAAATTCTTAAAAGCAAGTTCAAGCTCCAGAAAAATAACAGGTTTATGACATTTTGCTTTCAGATTTGTAACTTCTGTAGTAATATTCAATCTATATATTCAGCGTGTGTCAAAATATTATCATAAGCATATAGACAAAAATTATACTTCTGAATGTCAGTTAAAGTAGTTTTTTTAGATATTATTTATAATAGAAATTGTGCTGATATTAATTAAACTACGTATACTATATGTATTGTATTATAAGTTTAGGAATATCAGAAGTTTTAGTTATACATCAAAAATTTACAAGTCACATAGGATGCATTTATGAAAAAGAATTTTATATAAGTGGATTTAAAAAATTATTATACTATTAGAATATAGAGAAAGTGTAATTAGTATTAAGTTCTAGCTTAAGATTGAGCAAAAAGGTACATATATGAAGGGAGTGCATTTATAAAGAATACATTTATGAAAAGCTGATTGTAATTAATCACTATCAGCTTAAAGTAATCTATCTTATTATATTTATAAAAAGAATTTAATCTTAAAAAAAAATTAAATATTATTATAATTTTAAAAAATAATAAAATTATAAAAATATTGCAATTTAAAGTAAAAAAAGCCTTACTTTATAATGAATTTATGATATAATTGAATTTTTATCTATCACATGACATCTAAATAATAAAATACATCAAAAATTCTAAAGCTACCAATCAAATTTTTCAAATTCTTTAATTCTTCATTATAAGATTATAATGAATTTAATATTTAAAATAGCAATTTTACTATATTAAAAGTTGATTGTATATTTAAAACTTATAAAATTATATAATTAAAACTCAAAAATAATAAAAAGAAAGAAAATTTTAATAATCTAAAATAATATTAGCATTTGTCATTTATCATTTGGATTATTTGTAAAATGATAAATATTAAATGATTTAAGATAATGACAAAGAATTAGACAAATTCTTTAAATAATCAAAAAATCAGATCATTATTGAATACTGATATAAACTGATAATTAGAATTAATAATTTACTTTAGATTAATAAATCTTATATAATGATCTTCTTCTTTTTTCTAAATAGTAATACTCTTTTATATATATGATCTCTAATATTGAAGATTTCAAAATCTCAAATAATATTTTTTAAACTTGCAATTATGTATTTTAGATTTTATTTATTATAAGAGTTGGTTATAATCTGAATTGACAGATATTTTAACATAAATATGAAGTTTGGTAAGCTTTTTAAAACTTAGTATTTTGGATTTACCTATTATAAGTACATCAGTAAATTTAATAATGCGAAGTATTACGTAAACCCTACGCTTCGTAATCTTACGTAAGGTTACGAGCCCGTCG